CAGCAATGGCAGCCGCTCCGACTGCGGTGCCGACAGCTGCGAGGGCAGGGGCGTCGGCAGCCGCGCCGGCAGCAGCACCGACCGCGGCGCCGACAGCTGCGAGGATCACCGATCCCACGAAGGCGTCGGCGGCATCGCCAGCGGCTGGGCCGACAGCCACGCCGCCCGCAGCGTCGACAACTGCGCCGACGACGGTGCCAGCAGCCTCGCTGGCAGCTGCCCTGAGGACTGCGCGCGCGGCGGCACCGGCAGCCGCTCCGACGGCGGCGCAGACAGCTGCTCGGACAGGCCCAGGGGCGCTGGCAGTCGCGCCGACAGCAGCACCAACGGATGCGCCGACTACAGGCCCGATTTCTGCACCGACCACGGCTCCAGCGGCCGCGCCGACTCCAGCGTTCACGACCCCGCCGACGGCGTCGTCAGCGGCTGCGACGACTGCTGCGCCAGCCACCGCGCCGACCGTTACACCAACGACGGCGCCGACCTCTTCGCCGACGGATGCGTCAACGACCGCGCCGACTGCGGCACGTGCAGCTGCGCCGGCTGCTGCCCTGGTGGCGGGCGTGCCAGCCGCGGCGCCAGCGGCGACACCGTCCGGCCCCCTGACAAGTCTGCCGGCCTCGGCACAAAGGCGCTGACGGATGCGGGGGCCGCCGTGACAGCGGCGCCGACAGCAGCTCGGACGGTCGCGGCGACTGCGGCCCCGACAGCCTCGCCGACAGTTGCGTCGACAGCGACACCAACGGCCCGTCCGACTACGGCACTGGCAGCAGCGCCTGCCGCGGGACCGACGGCCACGCCGACAGTGGTGCCAGTAACGGCGCCGACACGGGCGCCGGCAGCTGCGCCGACAGCACCATCGGCAGCCGCGCCGACAGCCGCGCCGACAGCGCCCACTGCAGCGCCAGCGGCCGCGCTGGCTCGGGCACCGACAGCTGCGCCGGCCGCGGCGCCGTCCGCCTCGCCAACAGATGCGCCGACGGCCGTGCCGGGGGCCGCGAGTCGACAGACGCGCCGGCCGCGGCGCCTACAGCAACGCCGTCAGTTGCGCCACAGCTGCGATGACCGCAGCACCGACAGCGCTGACGCCGACGGCCACGCGGACAAGCGCGTCGACAACTGCACCGGCTGCGGCACCGACGACCGCGCAGACCGCAGCGCCGACGGCCGCGCTAGTAGCTGTGGCGCTGACCGCCTGGCCGGCTTTAGCGCTGACACCAGCGCTAGCGACTGCGCAGATTGCCGCGCCGACCGCAACGCCAGCGGCGGAGCCGACAGTTACGCCGACGGCGGCGCCAAAACCGGCTTCGACCGCTGCGCCGGCGAGTGCGTCGACAGTGTGTTGACAGAGGCCAATTATTAGGGCCCCTTCCCACGTTCGGGGGCCGCCGCCGGCGACGGGGCGGGCGAGCGGCAATGCCGCCGCCCCCGCCTGAGCGAGCACCCCGCGAACGGAATGGGCATCAGCATCAACGTCGCCTTCAGAGCCTTCGAGGACCTGTCCGGGGAGGGCCACCAGGCGAACGCGGATGTCTTCGCCGACCTTGTCGTGGAGCTGGAGGTCGCGCGGGCGGACGACGCCAAGGTCGTCGGGGACCGCAACGACGACTGCGAAAATAGCGAGGACGACGCGGGCTCTCTTCAGGGCGTTGCCGCCCAGCGCCTTGTGCTTTGTCATCGTGGGCCTGATCTACTTGGAGCGCTCGGGTGCCTCGCTCGCCAGGCCGCGCGTGTGATTTTCGCGCCGCCAGCCCAGGCCAAGCGACGGCGCGCCGCCAGCCCGTCGGAGTGCCAGACGGTGCCCGCGGGCAATAACGACAGCACGGTCCAGGTGAAGTGGGGGGACTCCAGCGGAGGGCCGGAGGACTCCCGTCGACACGGTTCTTGAGGAGGAGCGGGAGGTAGAGGCCCAGACGACGGGGTTGCGCGGCGACGGCCGTGCAGACAGCAGCACGGACGGCGCCGCAGGCGGTATCGCCGACGACGGAGCTAGCTGTAGCACCGACGGTTTCGCCGACGGCTGCTCCGACCGCCGTTCCGACGTTTTCGGCGATCGCTGCGCCAACAGCTGCGCCGACACCGACGCTGACAGCAACGCCGGCCGCGGAACCGGCCGCGGCGCCGACAGCGGCGCCGGCAGCGGCACCGACAGCTGCGCCCACAAGTGCGCCGATAGCTGCGCTGACTGCTGCGCCGACAGCCGCGCCGACTACGGCGCCGACAGCTTCGCCGGCAGCGTCCTCAACGGCCATGCCGACAGCGGCCCCAGCGAGGGCACCGAACGGCTCCCCGACTGGTTCGTCGTCTGCGGCACTGGCCGCGGTACCGGCACTTGGGCAGACGGCCGCGCCGACAGCGGCACCACCGTTTGCGCCGACGGTGTCGCTGGCAGAGGCGACGATTGCCGCGCCGACCTCTGCCGCGCTGGCCGACCTACCGACAGCGACGACGGCGTCGCCAACGGCTGCGCCGACAGCTGCGCTGACCGCAGCGTTGGCGGGCGCGCCGACGACGGCGCCGACGGCCTCGCCGACAGCTGCTCCGAGGGCTGGGGGGGCCACGGCACTGGCAGCCGCGCCACTGGCGGCACCGACGGCTTTTCAGACAAGTACGTCAGCGGCTGCCCCGACAACGGCACCGACAGCTAAAACTGCGCCGACAAGGTACCGGCACTTGGGCAGACGGCCGCGCCGACAGCGGCACCACCGGTTGCGCCGCGCTGGCAGAGGCGACGACTGCCGCACCGACCTCTGCCGCGTTGGCCGACCTACCGACAGCGACGACGGCGTCGCCAACGGCTGCGCCGACAGCTGCGCTGACCGCAGCATTGGCGGGCGCGCCGACGACGGCGCTGACGGCCTCGCCGACAGCTGCTCCGAGGGCTGGGAGGACCGCGGCACTGGCAGCCGCGCCTTAAGGCGACACCGACGGCTGTTCAGACACGTACGTCAGCGGCTGCCCCGACAACGGTACCGACAGCTACAACTGCGCCGACAGCGGCTCCGACGGCCGCGCCGGCAGCGCCGCCAACGGCCCCGCCGACGACGTCGCCAGCAATGGTGGCGACTGCCGTGCCGACCGCTGCACCGGCCGCTGCACCAACGACGGCGCCGGCAGGCTCCCCGACAGCCGCGCTGATGGCGGTGCCGACAGATGCGCCGACGGCCGTGCCGACTGCGGCACCTACAGCGCGTCTGGTTGCGGCGCTGGCGGGCGCGTCGTCTTCGGCTTCAACGATGCCGCCGATATTGGCTCCCTGACATGTTGACGGACAGGTTCGCCGACTTCGGCATCAACAGCGACGCCAGTAGCTGGCTGCGGAGACCACCGGGCCGGCAGCGGCACCGACCGCGGCGTCGACCGTTGCACCGGCTGCAGCCTCGACAGCGTCGCCGACCATTGTGCCGACAGCGGCGCCGACAGCCCTGTCGACTGCGGCACATGCGGCAGCGCCAGCAGCGGAGCCCATGGCAACGCCAACAGCAGCACCGATAGCGGCGCCGACATGAGCGCTGGCAGCCGCGCTGACTGCGGCGTCGATAGCCTCGCCGACGGCTGCGCCGGCATTGGCGCCGACAGCGTCGACGGCGGCATCGGCAGCCGCGCTGGCGGCGGCGCCGACATCTGCGCCGGCTGCGGCACCGACCGCCTCGCCGACAGACGCGCCGACGGTGGCGCCGAGAGATGCGCCGACCACGGCACCGTTGACGGCGTTCACTGCGGAGTCGACAGCTGCGCAGACAGCGGCGCCGACAGCGACACCGACAATCGCGCCGGCGAGTGCGTTGACAGCCGCGCCTGCTGCGGCACCGACAGCCGCCCGGACCGCGGAGCCGACGGCTGCGCAGGCTGCGGCGCTGGCCGCCCAGCGGGCACTCGCCCCAGCAGCGGCGGGAGCAGCCGCGCCGACTGCGGCGCCGACAGGAGCGCCAACCACGGAACGGACGGCTGCGCCCACAGCGACACCGACAGCTGCGCCGACGAGTGCGCCGACAGATGCACCGACTGTTGCTCGAACGGCCTTGCCGACCGTTGCGCCGACAGCCGCGCCGACCGCGGCGCCGATAGCTGCGCTTGCCGCGGCGCCGACGGCGGCAGGCTTCACCGACGGCGACGCTAGCAGCGGCGCTGACAGCTGCGTCGATTGCGGCACCGGCGGCGGCGCCGGCACTTTCGTCGACAACGGCGCCGATTGCAGCACCTGCGACTAGGCCAGCACGTTCGTCGACAATTGCGTCGATTACGATTGCGCCACCGACAGCCGCGCCAACGGCAGCACCGACAGCTGCACCAGCTACGGCACCAACCGCCTCGCCGACAACACGGAGCACCTCGCCGAACGCAGCGCCGATGGCCTCGCGGACAGGTGCTCCACCGACAGCGTCGACTGCGGCACGGGCAGCCGTGACGACTGCGGCACCGACAGCATCGCCGACAGCTGTGCCAGCGGCCACGCCGGCAGCAGCACCGACAGCTGCAACTGCAGCGGCGCTGACAGCGGCATCGACAACATGGCCGACAGCAGCGCCGATGGACGCGCCAGCCGCCGCACCCGCAGCTGCCCGACTACGGCGCCGACGTCCGCGGCGACCTCGGCATCGGCAGCTACGCCGACTGCGCCGCGGACAGCCCAGACAATTGCAGCACCCGCAGCCGCGCCGTCTGCGGCACTGTCAACCTGGCCGACGGCTACGTTGACGGCCTCGCCGACTGGGGCACCGACAGCCTCGCTGACAGAGGCCCGGATGACTGCGCCGACTGCGGCGCGGACAGGATGGTGGAACGGATGGTGTTGGCCAGCGGGTTCACCGGCAGAGGCTCCGACCGCGGCGCCGACGGCCGTGCCAACGCTCGCGCGACGCTTCGGCCTGCCTGCCGCCGACGATCTCTACCAGCAGCAGTTCTACCGGGCGCTCGCGTCCGGAGGCTACAAGGGCGCGGCGACCGTCGCGGCGCGGTGCAGGAGTGGGCTGCCCCGCGCGCAGCAGACCATCCAACAGTTCAAGGGCATCCAGACGCCACTGGGCAAACCGTCCCCGATCCTGCTCTACTTCTTCATGCTGTTCGAGTACGACGAGCTGAGGGCACTGAAGCCCTCGGAGCTGGTGCGCCCGGTGGTCGCGCAGCAGAAGCGCGGCTTGATCGAGGAATGGCAGAAGGAGGAGAAGCTCCAGTGCACCGAGGAGGATCGAGGAGTGGATCGAGGAGTGGCAGAAGGAAGAGGATCGAGGAGTGGCACAAGGAGGAGGGCCGCGGAGTGGCAGAAGGAGGAGAAGATCCTGCGGCTCGCTCGCGCGCGCGCCGAACCCGAGGCACCGCGGTTGCGAGGGCGGCTACGACGAGGCCGCCGCCGAGCCCGCGTGCGAGCGCGCGTTCAACAAGGGCCTGCTGCAGGCTGGCGAGACCTGTTGGGAGCCACAGGCGCCGACGGAGCCAGGCGGGCTCCCGGAGGTGAGGGGCAGTGAGGCGCCGCCGCCAACACGCTGGCCATGGGCTGGGCGCGCCAGGCGCGCGGCGCCACCATGCGCCTGCGGGCGGCCGGAAGCCGGGGCGGCGCGGCGCTGGCGCAGCGTAGTGGGCGCGGCGTGGGGCGCGAGAGGCGCCGGCGCCTGGCGCGCCAAGCACGCGGCGCCAGGGTGCGCAGACTGGGGCTGGCACTGGCGCAGCGCGGCGCGGAGCGCAGCGCAGCGGCCTCGGCGCGGGCAGCGCGGCCGGTGCCGAGACAGTAGGGGCGGTGCCCCGTGGGGCGGACCAGAGGGGGCCCTCCGGCCCAGCCCATAACGATGCGCATGCATTTGGCGCGCCCGTGTTCCCAGAGCGGCAGCGCCGCGGCGGCGCGCTGCAGCCCGAGCTGCCCGTCGCGGGGCGATGGGGGGGCTCGGCGGCGCAGTGCTTCCAGTTTTGGCGGGCTGGCGAGGCAGTGTCGGCGGGGGCGACGTGCCGACGGATAGCTCCCTGCACTCGCTGGAGGAGCGACGCCGTCGTGAAGGGGGCGGTTGGCGCCGAGTCCAGCTCCTGGGGTGGCCCTTGCATGGCCACGTTGAGTTTGCATCAGTGGGAACCGGTGGCACTGCACGAACCACCGCGGCCACCCGCGGAAGGAGGTGGCGGCAGAGCCCGCTGGCGCGTGGCGCAAGATGGTGGAGCTGGAGCGCGCGCACACGCAGCGCCAAGACATCGTCGTAATATGAGTCATGTTTGCTGCTGCCTCCTCGCCTTGAGCCTCGCGCCATAGGTAGGCTCAAGTTTCGGTTGTGCGCGACTGCTGACACAAACAGCTTAGTTGTTTGGCTTTAGCTTGAACGGTAGGGTTTCTGGGGCCCCAGGATGCGGGGGCTTCTCCTATTGGTCTCCTTTGCTCCCTGCTCCTGCTCTCTGCTTGCCTTCTCTCCCCCTCTCGCTCCCGCTCAAGCTCCCTGGGGTTCATGCTGGCCCACCCTGGGGACAAAGTCCCTCCCTGCCCTGCGTGGTGGGCTCCGCCGGACCTGACATGTACGTCAGGCGGCAAAGCCCGCTGGCGCGCGGCGCAAGATGGTGGAGCTGGAGCGCGCGCACACGCAGCGCCAAGACATCGTCGTCATCTGAGTCATGCTTGCTGCTGCCTCCTCGCCTTCGACTGCTGACCCAGACAGCGAGGCCCCGAAGGCGCCCAAGATGGCCCCAAGACAGCCCAAGAAGCCCCGAAGCCGCCCCAAGAGGCGTCAAAGAAGCGCCCCAAGAGAGCTCCGAGAGACCCAAATCGATAATTGTACATTGTTTCCGGTGTTTTGGGTTTCGGTCGCCATTCTACTTTTCCGACGCTCCTGCGCGACGCAGAGGCCCCCCAGACGGCCTGAAGACGGCCTTGGACAGCACCAAGACAGCCCAAGAGACGCCCCAGAGGGCCTTAGAAAGCCCAAGAGGACCCCGAGAAGGCTTCCAGAGGGGCCCACGAGGGGGCACAAAAAGTCAAACAAAATGTTGCCGCCCTGATAGCTTCCCAGGATGCCCCGCGAGAGCCCCGAGGCGCGCCAGGGAGGCCGCCGAGAGGCCCCGAGGAGGTCCCCAAGAGGCCCCCCAAAAAAGACCCCGCGAGGCCCCAGCGCGAGCGCCGCCCCCGCCCCCTCCGTCAAGTTGCGTTCACGTCGCGCTACGCAGACGCCGTCGCGCAAACCTCTCGGGCCCGGGCGTTTCCGGGAGGTGTTCCCGGAGGGGCCTCCGGGGACATCTGCTTCGGGGGGGCGAGGATCCGCGCCTTGCTTCTCGCCGTCGTCGTCGTCGTCATCGCGGGCGTCGTCGTAGTCGTCGTCGTCGGTTCTTCTTGAAACTGTTCGTAAGTTTTGTTAGAGATTCGAGGTTCGAAGTTCGAGGAGGTTTCTCGCGGTTTTCGGCCCCGCGGGGCCCGTCTCCGGGCCCTAGGAACACAACGTCAACCCAAGGGCCTGTTGTGGAATGTGCTTGGGCCAGATTTTCGAGGGGGCTCCAACCGTGGAGGCGCGGCTGCCCGAGGAGGTCAGCCCTCGACGTTCGACGAAACATTGAGGGGGGGACTTGCTTCCCCCGCCCACCTCGCCCCCCGGTCGCCGCCGGGCGCCTCCGTGGGCCTCAGCGAGCCCGCCGAAAAAACAACCCAAAACTTCCGAACACCTTCGACACATATGAATTGCAAATCCGACCCCCCCCCCATCCTCGTCCCGCGCCAGCCTCCGGCCCCGGGCCCTCGAGGGCCCGAGATGGTGAAGACGGCCGAAGAGAGGCCTTCAAGGAACAAAATTCGGCCCATTCCCGTCGTCAAACGTGCATTTACAGCATGCTCGCTGGCTTAGTCTCCACACCCCCCCAGACGCCCCCGAGGAACCCCAAGACAGCCCAAGTTGAGATTGCTTCGGCGGTCGATGGCTCAAGCCATCGACCGCCGAAGCAATCTCAACTTGCCAGTCCGCGCATCGCGCCAATCGCGCCGAACATGCCAGCAGAGAATCATATAGTCTCTTTGCCAGAAGGGGGTGGTGGACGTCGCGTGGAACCTCGTCAACGCAGTCCGCTTCAAGAAAAGGATGGGTTGGAAAGTGCAGCCGATGCTTTACGTGGAGGTGCGGTGCTGGCCAGCAGCTAACAACCCCGCACCCTCGACCTGAACATCATGGACGATGAAGACCTACGACCACCAGCACAAATACCAAATGCAGAGGCACCAGTAACCATGGGGGCGATGAACACTATGTTCCGGGACTACCTCGCTCCAGTCACGACTGTTCCCCAGGCTCTAGGGCGCGGTTTAAAAGATTTCAAACAACTAATGGAAGCCAACATGGAAGAGCAAAACATCCGCATCGCGAACATTGAAGACGACATCGAATCTCTACAAGAAGAGATGCGCTCCTTCTGCCCGCCAGCGGACGTCGACAAACGCATCGGGGAGTTCCGGGAAGACATGGAATTATTATGCACGGCGGTAACACCGAGGTCTACGGGTACATATTCGGCAACTGGCCCATGCACAGCGCCCACCCTTGTAGTTGGGGGTTCACCGCAAAACATTCTTGCAGACGCTGAAAAGTGGGTGGCCCAAATGTCGGTGGACGCTCATTGCCCAGCCCCTTCAGAAACATACAAAAAAGAGACCCCTTGAAGAAGACTTCAAAGGCATGTTGTTCCTCGAGTTCCCGTCCGAGACGCTTCCCCAACAAGTTTTGCCATTTCTACAAGAAGCATGTGGGAAACAGAATCCCAGAGAAGGATCTCGCCGGGTCTGGTGCAACACAGACGCTCCCATCGAGAAGCGGGCCGCCACGTCATCATTATTAATCTTGCGCTATAGTTTGACCCAGTGGGGCTTTGTGAAGAAGTTCCCGAAGGTCGACGGGGACATCGGTATTCTCAGAGCTGGGGGCAAACCAATATGGAAAGCAACCGTGGATAATTGGAAGCTTAAGTTGGCGTGATTGGATCAAACATGGGAGGTATGGGGCGAACTTCAAAAAGCTGCAGAATGGAACGATGTGCAACAAAAAGTCAATGAGAGATTGGAGAGGAGCGCGGCCAACTCATCAAAAGGGGCGGGCAAAGTTAAGCCCGCGCAGTGACGACGCCAAAGACGCACAAGCATAGTCTCACCCTCGGGGAACAACAGCGTCTCCGAGATACCGAATTCACGATTCAAAGTTGCAGCGTGGAATGTCAAAGGTTTAACGGAGGAGAAATTGTTTGAAATAACAACGCAGATTGGTAATCACAATATTCAGCTATTATGCGCGCAGGAAGCGCGACAGAAACAGGCAGACATTTACGATTTCAATGGGTACGTAATTTTACTATCAGGTGCAGAAGGGGAGGCGCAATCCTTCACTTGAGTTGGGTTCATTATTTTGGAATCACTATGGAAGCGAAGGCGATCGTATAAACAAGTATCGGACCTAATAGTTTGGATCAAGATCCGAATGGAAAAAGGTACGTTTGGAATATTCGCCCCTTCGAACCCCAAGCCCACCCCAGAGAAGCTGCAATTGTATGCCGATCTCGATATGGAATACAGGAATTATTTTGTCGAAATGATTTCTTGTGGGCTTGAATGCACGAATGGGGCGAGCACGCAATGGAGAAGAACATAGTATTGGGGATTACGGCTGGGGCAGAGAAGCAACGCACGCAGTAGAAACTCCAAACCGCGATTTGCTAATCGAATTCTGCGACGGCCTCGATTTGAAGATTTCGCATTCGTTCTTCAACGGCCACTTGAGGAGAAGATCGCCTTCATCGAGCCTGGCGCGAGTTTCATGGGGGAGATCACGGAGCGCCAATGCAACATGTTTGGACATGCTTCTTTGCGATGCTGCCATATTATCGCAAGTACAAGATGAAGAGTCATCGACAAATACCAGTAGCTACAGACCATTACCTTGTTACCTGCACCATGGCATGCAAAGTGGAAGCACCGCGCGAACACCAACGCGCAGGAGTCGCACGTGAAACTCTCCGGGGCCACGGGCTACGACTACTATTTGCAGAGTGATGTTTGGAAGTATTGGTTTCCCAACGACGCCAGAAACTGTGGAAAATCGATGGAAGCAAGGGGCGCAGGCGGCTCAAGCTGCTACCAATGTACTTCCACCAGCTTCAATTGAAAAGAAAAGACCATGGATTAGCAAACAAACGTTGGTTCAATTGATGAGAGGAGCATGGCACGACAAGCAAGCAACATTCAAGAATAGAAGCGTTTATTCAAAGAAGTGCGACAATCATGCAAACAAGACAAATCAGTTTGGATTGAAGGGCACATCGCACATGGGAATTGGGATGCCATGCGCGCTCATTGCCGAGCACGCCCACGCAAACAAGGGCGCCTACAATACCTGGCGGGAAATTGGTGGAGAGTTCCGGACAGGCAGACACGATGGCGGAGTTCTGGGAAAAAGTGCAGTGGAGAGTACGACCAGCATTATAATCACCGACGGACCA